TTCCAGGAAGTAGAGCCAGAACCACACAGATAATAGAAGCCAGAGGTACAGAGACGAGGAGGTGAGGCTGGAAAACTAGGGGAGTGGCGAGGAGAGTGGAAGTATGTGTGTGTGGCTAATATACATCCTGGTAGGTCACTTTTAGGAATTTTTGGCTTTTGAATGAAAGGGCAACCTGTTCCTTCTCACACCAAATCTTGGCTAGTTTAGCTACGTTTCCCTAAGAAAGACTTAAAGGGACACTGTAGTTTTTTTAAGTGCAAAGAAAGAGTGAATGATGTATCCCTGATTCTGCCTTTTTAGCAACAAACTTTGGAGGAAGGAACTGCCATATATAGATATGTGTTGGAAACGAACAGAAAGTTTACACACACATGCACATTCACACAGGCACTCAAGGGAACATTCTGGGAGCTACTATACACAAAAATACAGGGCTCTAGGTAACTTCTTCAGACAGTTCATACTGTTACTCAATCTATTAAGCTAGGATGAATGACAACAAAAATTCCCACATTTTACACAGAATATAGCTCTAGATTAGATTATTATTTATGCATTACATGATTAACATATGTGTGGATAAGTACATAAAAGTCACTGAGTTTATAAAAAGTGACTTTTTCTCTAAGTAAACAAATGTACAATAAAGTCAAATCTTTTAACCTTAGTAAATACAGATCCTTATCCTAAAGCAATGCTATCTTTAATTATCACTTATTAGTGAATTATTAGAAAATAATGACTACCAATCAATTCAGAATCTGAGCTCTACAAATATTAATCAAGATTTCCTCTAACAAAGGCAATCTCTGGGAACATGTAGGTTAAAAGGTCAGCTTCAGAGTAAAATAATATTCTTCATTCACAGTAAGGTCAGATGGAGTTTGGTCAGTTGCTATGATATCTTCTTTTCAATAGACAAACAGCTCAAACAAGACAATTGAAAGATGACTTCTCTTAAATGCAAGGTAATTATAATTTGTCCATAATGTAATGCAGTGACTTGACTATGTTATTACTTCAAAATGAAAGTAGCACATGATGTGTTAATGATAATGGAATGGAAAAGCCATCAGTATTAACTGCTTATGACTACCTGTATCTCTTTCACATGTTATGACTACCACCTGAAGGTTTCAAATATAAGGAAGAACTTGCCAGTAAAAATGAACTACTGGCAAAGGTTATACAAACATCTTAAAGATCTTTCAAAAAAGCATAAATGTTCACCCTCAGGGATGTTTTGGCATCATCTTGAGGGAATGTGTTTTTTTTCTGGGTTTATGAGGGGGTGTAGCTTTAAGGGCAAAAATTTCCCCGGTGCCATGCTCCCCTCCCATCTCTCTCCACCTGGGAGATTCAACGATTTATGTTTAAATTTCACAGGCATGGCAAGAAACTAAAAGTCAATCACTCCAGCAGAAGTTCTAAGAAACTCCTTTCATTAGCCCAGGGTCTTGGAAAAGGTAGGGGTTCCTCCCAAGACAAATGTCCGTGCCTACACACCTAGCCGGATTTCCCCTCTGGAATCCCCTTCCACACTCTTCATGGAAGCCTTTCTCTTCTTCTCCTTTCCTTCTCTTTTCTCTACCTAAATAAAATCACCTTTCTGCAACACTTTTTTAGGTCCAATATTCACTTTACGAGCATACAGTCCACCTGCAGTGGCCCCACTGCTTATTCCTTAAAAGGTTAGAAGCCAAAAACCCACAACAATCACTAGCATCCAAAAAAAAAAAAAAAAAACCCAGTTACAAAATTGGCGCCCAACGTGGGGCAAAAGGAGTGACGTGTAAGAAGGGAAATGCTTCAAAGGGGTAAGTGAAAATATTAAACCCTTCTCACTTGTTTTCTGTCCTCTTTAAGTAGCAGCCGCAAAAAACACAGTTACAATGTGACCTGAAAGGAAGAGTATAAAGTAGAAAATTTTTCAGGCCTAATCTATCTATGTTATTCTTTAAGCTAAAAAAGGCTAAAAATTTTTTTTCTTTTGCCCTATAACACCCTTCTCTTTAACCATCACTCTCTCTCCTGCTAGACATGAGACTACAAATTTGCTATGACATAAATTTGTCCTCTAATTGCTTTCATTATCATTATAAAACTAAAATTATTTGTTAAAAACAAATTTAAAACCGTTTTGCAGTAAAATTTTCCAAACCCAGCCTAAATTAGGTGAAGCAATGATATCATTTAATCAGCTATACACCTAGGTATGTTTTGTAATCTGTCACCTATAAAAGAAACACATCTATTTCAAATAGATATATTTCTTTTCTTTATATTTGAGAATTTTCACAATAAATAGTTAGGAAAATTTTAATCACATTTGAGACCTGTTTTAAATGGCAAGGGAGAAATGTCCAAATCCCACAGAAGAATTCTGCAAAAAAACAATAGGCAAGATTTTTGCAGCTTATGTCTGTTGAGCTGGGGAGGATTAAAAAAAGATAACCATAATCCCTTTATTTTATCTGTCTACCTCCAGAAAAGTACAAAAAATTTACACTCTTATTGAGAAATGAAGGCAGGTGAAAAGTTTGTTCATTTGTTAAGAATTCTACGTGGTGAAACTAAGTTCCTTTGGTTAAATTTTGATGCTTAAAAACAAACTATTTCTGTAATTTCAGACAATGTTTCACTTCCTTGATTACTCAGAATAACTTTATTTTCAATATAAATATAGTTCCTGAAAGGATATAAACCATACCTTCTTTGGATTACTTAATCATCCTTTTTGGCAGTGTCCTTTCACTATTAATCTATCCGAAATTATTATTTTTTTAAATCTGAAAACAAAAAACACATAAAAATCAACACATGGGAAAATTTGTTCACCTATTCAATAGCGTGCATACGAACTCTGTGTTTTGTGTGTTGCAAGCCTTTCGACCTTCTAAAGTGTCATGAGACAGGCATATTTATGTTTGACAGTCCATTAACGATTTTTTGGTAGTTATTTAAAACATACCACCCTCTGTATTTAATAAAGATGGAAAAATACATAACCCAGCTAGTAGTGGATAATAATGATTTATTCAAAAAATATTTATTTAATATTTACTATGTGCAAGGAATAGTGCTAAACCTTAGAGATGAGAATATGAGTAAGATGAAGTCCCTGAATTAACGAAATCTATAGTTTGGTAAAGAAGAAATACAAATGAACAAATATAAAATCTCATAAATTGCTAAGTATACGTAGAGTAATACTGTAATAAAGAGGAGAAACCTAACTTAGCTTAGAGAGTTGAGGGTCTCCAGGAAGGGTTCCTGAGCTTGGTCTTAAAGAATGAGTATTAATGATCTAGGCGGGAGAGAATGGGAGACAGTATTCCATGATGAAGCAGCAGCATAGAGGAACAAAGCAGCATGTTGTGGGCAGAGAACTATAAGCAATTTGGTATTGCTGGAGAGAAGCCTATGGTATGGAGTGGAGAGAGATGAGGCTAGAAAGGTAGGCAGTGGCCACACCATGAATGATTTTGTGGGGTATGTTAACACACCTGAACTTTCTCTTGGCCTTGGAAAGATTCTAGAAGGGGTGTGATATTTTCAGATTGTGTATTAACTATAACTCCTTGACTCCCTTGAGTGAAAGATGAATGTGAAGGAGACATGATGATCAGCTACAAGAGTGACAAAATGAGGACCTGAGAACCAAGATGGTGACAGAGGGTATGGTTTCCATTGAGACACACGGGCAGACATGACAGAGAGATTAGATGTGGGGATGACTCCCAAGTGTCTGGCTGGGGTTACTATGTTGATGACGGTACTTTCCTCACCCACTGTCCCCTCCATCCAAGTAGATAATATGGAAAGAAAAGCAAAGTTTAAAGGGAAGATGATGGATTCAATCTTGGATGTGTTGAATATGCCTCCAGGTTATCTAGGTGGAGATTTCCAGCAGAAAGTTAACATAAAGCCAAAAGGGAGAAAGTGTGAATAGGAGGTTGAAACTTGAATCTGCAAAATATTAAAGATACTAGGAATTCTGAGTGAACAGTAAGTTTTTCTGGGGTTTTGTTTGCTTGTTTTACTTAAGCCATTCTAATAGGTGGGTAGTGGTAGCTCATTGTGATTTAAATTTTTATTTCCCCAATGTCTAATGACGTTTAGCATCTTTCCTGTTCTTTTGTTTAGGAGCTTTTAAAATGCTTACTTCTTATTTGTGCATCTTCTTTGGTGTCTATTCAAATCTTTTGCCCATTTTTAAACAAGGAGCTGTTTTCTTATTTTTTGTGTACTCCTTATATATTCTTCATACAAGTCCTTCATCCAATATATGCTTTGCAAGTATTTTCTCAGCCTGTGGCTTCAACAGTCTTTTGAAGAGCATAAACTTTTAGTTTGTTGAAGTCCAATATATCAATTTTTTTCATCATGCTTTTGGTCTAAGAAATCTTCTAAAAAATCTTTGCCTAAATAAGGTCACAAATAGTTCCTCCTATGTTTGCTTCTGGTATAGGTTTAGGTTTTTCATTTACACCTATGATCCATTTTGAGTTTTTTTGGGGTGTACATGTGGTATGAGGAATACATCAACGTAATGAGAGGGGATAAAATCAGCCACGAAGAGTGTACAGACAGGAAGTGCAAAAGGCTGGATGGAACCTGGGAATAAAAAAAATCCAAGGTTCAAGGAAGCAGAGTTGGGCATTGTTGGGGAAGCAACAGGAAAATTTTGAATAATCAACACTGCCTGTTAAGATAAGCAATGCAGCTGTCTTTTTTATTTGGATGAGGTCACCAGTGACCTTAGGAAGAGCATTTCCAGTCAAAACAAATCTTTCCTATTCATAATTACATGTAACCAACAGCTTTACAAGAATTCCCCCAGCAGAAGCACTTGAGAGGTCTGAAATTCCTGAGCACTATTAAAGGTCACTTCTTTGGGTACAGGAAGGTCTGGGATTCCTGACATTGAGGGTGACTGAAGCATCCTTGGGGCACTTCAGCATAAGATCTTGGGGACTAACCCGAGGAGTCATTACCTTGTTGGGAAGTCAGAAGGACACACACTGCTGGATTTGCCAATCTGACGCTTCACCAGGGAGACACCTAGTTGAACTACAGGAAGATGAGAAGGCGGGGATTAATATCTGTGCACTCGGGCAAACCAGGGAAATCCCTCCCAGCCCTCCCTGTGTCCCGAGGAGAGGAGGCGTAAGGCGCAGGGCCCCTCCCGACTCTCGCCCACGTGGCTCCTCTCGGGTGAAGAGCTAGTGCAGTTACCCCGGCTTAGGAAGCGGATGTTTAAGCCATGGGTTAGTGGGCTCGTGAGCACGCCTGGTCCTTTCCCTGAGGCTATGAAAGCGACGCACGACGGACTCTTCTAGGCTGACTGACCTTTCGCCCCCATATCTCCGCAGCCCAGGAGTCCGCGAGCCCGTCCCCCTCCCGCTAGTCGTAAAGTGCAGTAAAGGCACCGGCATTTTGCGGCACCGTAGGTGAGGCCGGCGGCGTGGGTCCTTGCTCTTCGCGGGGCTGGCGCTTTGGCGGTTGCTTTTGCGGAAAGGCGGTAGTTAGTAGTTTGGAGAGGTCAGGGAACTAGCTGCGATTCTCTCAGAGGATAATTGGCTGCTCCTAGGTTTGTGTAACAAGCGGCAAAACTGGTAGGGTTGTTTTAAAACCTCTTATCCCATTCAATACCCATGTTTAGACTGCATTCTAGCCTGGGCAATAAAGCAAGACTCCCGTTCTCTCTCTCTTTCTCGCTTTTCATTTTTCTTTCTTTCTTTCTTTTTCTTTTTTCTCTCTTAAAAAAATAAATAAAAAGCCTCTTATCCTAGTCCTTAAGCGTGACAGAAGGTTCCCAAATCCCTCCTTGTGACTTGCCGCTTCTCTAGTGCTACTTTGGTTGTGATCTTCGTGTTCATCACTAGATCTTAGGTGTCCTCGGTGTAACTGACTGTTGTTGTGTCCACTTCGTCCTGCAGTCTCTCTTCTCCTGACGTTTGAAATGCTTTATCTCATCGGCTTGGGCCTGGGAGATGCCAAGGACATCACAGTCAAGGGCCTGGAAGTTGTTAGACGCTGCAGTCGAGTGTATCTGGAAGCCTACACCTCGATCCTGACTGTAGGGAAGGAAGCCTTGGTAGGTGCTGAGCGTCCCCCAGCCTCCTGGGAAGAAAGCTATGTAACATGTGATTTTCATATACTAAGCTGAACAGAATTTTCAGGTCTGCTTGTTTAAACCCTTTGAAACGCATTCCCTTGTTGATTAATGATCTGAGGAGTAGAAGAATGGAAATTACACACCAACCGACTGACTTGGAAAATGAAAAGGTGCTTTGTCCTACTTTACAAGTCTAATTTTTTGGCTTTATCCCGTAAATAGGAAAGCTATTTTATACTCTTGGGGGGTAGTTATCAAAACCCGGTATTTCATGAGGTAGTCAAGAAATCCTTTTTGAGTTGAGTGCTAATGAGGTGCTGACACAGCCTTAATGAGTTGGTTATATATTCAAAAACCAAGCTGAAAGCTTCCTCCTTTGAAGTATTTCCATAGGGAATGGTGATTGCCTTTTTGTATCATACCCAGAGAGATCTTACCTTAAATACACTATCTCCCAATAAGGATTATACTGATACACTTGTATATATTGAGTGAGCCTAGACTTAATATATATAAGTGTATGAGTATACACTTACATGCATGAGTATACACTAAGTAACCAGAGTATTAGTGTATTTATACATTTAGTTGGCCCTCATAAGGACCCAGTAAATTTTGGGGAAGGGTCAACTTCAGGTTCATTTCAAACTAAGTAAAAGGTAAATCAAAAGATTTTAATAGATACGTTATGGGAGGAAGGAGTAGATTTTTAGAATTGTCTTTGTTATGTCTTCCAAACCAAAAATTGACTTAAAATGTTTAGGTCTCTGCCGGGTACGGTGGCTCAAGCCTGTAATCCCAGCACTTTGGGAGGCTGAGGCAGGTGGATCACGAGGTCAAGAGATCGAGACCATCCTGGTCAACATGGTGAAACCCCGTCTCTACTAAAAATGCAAAAAATTAGCTTGGCATGGTGGCGCGTGCCTGTAATCCCAGCTACTCAGGAGGCTGAGGCAGGAGAATTGCCTGAACCCAGGAGGCAGAGATTGAGGTGAGCCGAGATTGCGCCATTGCACTCCGGCCTGGGTAACAAGAGCGAAACTCTGTCTCAAAAAAAAAAAAAAAAAATTTTTAGGTCTCAGATTACTTTAAAATCTTGAAGAAGGAATTAAGAACTGCTACTTGAATTGGCCATGCATTTAAATAAAAGTTGTAAAGACCAGCTTTGATATATACATATACACAGAGAGAGAGAGAAAGTAAGTCTTGCTCTGTTGCCCAGGCTGGGGTGCAGTGGTGCAATCAAGGCTTACTGCAGCCTCAACCTCCTGGGCTAAAGTATTCTCCCATCTCAACCTCTGGAGTAGCTGAGACTACAGGTGGGTGCCACCATGCCCAGCTAACTTTTTTTGTATTTTCTGGTAGAGACAGCTTTTTGCCGTGTTAGCTGATCACGGGTTCCTAGACTGTCGTGATCTGCCTTCCTCAGCCTCTAGTGCTGGGATTATAGGCATGAGCAACCACCCCCAGCCTAAGACCAGCTTTGATTTAAAAAAACTTTTGTTTCCCCATTTTTGTCACTCTTAGGATAAAACCAAACCTAAGCTCAAGATGATGGAAATATGTTTCTCTAATCAGTGCTAGTGAAAAGTAGAAGGAACTTAACACCATCAAGAAAAGCGAGACAAATAACAAAACAGCAGTATGATAGAATGAGATATCAGGGGATGGCATAGAGGAAAGTTTGGATACAGGTTTATCTTTGCTTTGTTACATGTTAATGTGACCTTGGACAAGTCCTTTAACTTGGCCAAAGTAAATGGGGTAAAAACACCTACTTTATGTGTTTAGCATAGTTCTTAGCATAGATTCTTAGCTATGGTATGTGGCACAAAAGTGTTTAGAAATAAAAATCGTCCATGGTCACATTTCCAAGCTTCTCTGAACCTCAGTTTCTTCATTTGTCAAGTGAGAATTACCAGTTGGAGGGTGATGTAGTGTTTTATTGAAATGATGTATATGAAAGTGCTTTGTGCATTTTATGTGCTAGCTAAATGTCGATTTTGGTTGCTACAATTTTTTTTAAGTATTTTTTTTCCAAAGAGAAAACTTCTGGAGTTATTACTTAAAGAGTCAAGACCTGAAGCTGGACCCAGCCTTACCTTCAGTAAATTATGTACACTTTAAGGTGCTAGAATATCTGTTCCTCCACAATAATAAGTACTGACATTTATAGAACAGTTACTGTGTACTGTTTTAAATGGTTTACATGTAGTTTAGGATTATCATTCTAATTTTCTAATTGCTATTCATTTTGCAGGCATAGAGAAGTTAACAAACTTGCCCAAGTTCATATGGACAGTGAGTGAGTCAGTGAGTCAGTGAGTGAGTGAGTGATAGAGCCAGGAGATGAACCAAAGCAGTCCTGAGAGTTGTGGTCTGTCACTCTTTTTATTTTTTTTCAGACGGAGTCTTGGTCTGTTGCTAGGCTGGAGTGCAGTGTCATGATCTCAGGTCACTGCGACTTCTGCCTCCTGGGGTCAAGCAATTCTCCTGTCTCAACCTCCCGAGTAGCTGGGATTACAAGCATGTGCTACCACACTCGGCTAATTTTTGTACTTTTAGTAGAGACAAGGTTTCACCATGTTGGCCAGGCTGGTCTTGAACTTCTGACCTCAGGTGATCTACCCACCTTCACCTCCCAGGGTGCTGGTATTACAGGCGTGAGCCACCGTGCCTGGCTGAGGTCTGCCACTCTTGACCTCTACACTGTACTGTGTCTCTGTATTCTTAAGGATGGATAATAGCTACACAAAGTGCACTTCACAGAACACCTACAGAGAAGGTAGGATTCAAGCAAAATGGTCAATGTTAGATCTTGACCTGCTTAATAATCTGTTCATTTACTCATTTGTTTGACAGATATTATTAAGTACCAGATACAATTGCACTACAGCAATCCTTGTAATTTTTAATAGCTCACTCAAAGTTCTCAATATGTAAGAAAGTATTATTTACTTATGTATCCGCTTTTACTCCATTTGAATTACTTCTTACTCCTTAGGATATCAGTTATAAGATTTACAATCCTTCTTTCTGTACTGGCTGCTGAGATGAAAAAAAAAGGATTCATGATCCTGCATAGTAGCCTGTAACCACTGCCAGATGACTACTAGCTTACTAGTTCACTCTGCTGGATTTGTTCTCTAGAGTTGAGCTGCTGGGAATTAAATCATAAAGCAGTTTGTATGCAAACTTCCTATGTATTTAGAAATCATTTATTGCTCCTACAACTCTGCCTTTTTAGCAGAAACTAAGGAATATAAATTAGTATCTTCTGCATTAAAGTAAGAATTAAAGTAGTATCTTTCTGCAGTAAAGCTGTTTATGGCTCTGTAAACAGCTAATTTTCTATTGTTTCTCATTGGTACTGCCTTTTTCTTTTTTTAGCTGAGATGCCATATGTTTTCCCATTGAAAATGTAATAAAACCTAAAGCACCTAAACAAACCATGTTTGTTTAAACTTATTATTTAATATATTTATTCTGTATTATATCATGTTTCTGAAGTAGGATATGTATATTCCTTGTTCATCCTACAGTGTTCTGTCTGGCCTTTAGAACCAAATTTAGAAATAAATTTAAAATGCAAATGGCCTCAGATGTTGAGGTCTGCCTCCTTTGGGATATTAAGACAGCCCCAAAGACAGAGTTTAATTGCAACATGATATAGAGTACTGGCTCATTGATGAGTTGTATTGAATGATCTGTGTTTGGGTGGTTGCCAAGATATGCAGGAGTCCCAGACAAAGAGTGAGAGAGAGAGAGAGAGAGAGAGAGAGAGAGAGAGAGAGAGAGAGAGAGAGAGAGAGAGAGTGTGTGTGTGTGTGTGTGTGTGTGTCTATTAAATGGTCACCTGCTGTCTCTCTATCTTGATATTGGACTTAAATCTGTAGGAAGAGTTTTATGGAAGAAAATTGATTCTTGCTGATAGAGAAGAAGTGGAACAAGAAGCAGATAATATTTTAAAGGATGCTGATATCAGTGATGTTGGGTTCCTTGTGGTTGGTGATCCGTTTGGGTAAGTCAAGGCAGATATTTTGAGTTTTTAACTCATGTTCTGTTCTTTTTTAAATCAGAATTATTCTGTTGCATTTAAAACTTTTACCTACCAGGAACACTATTTGTGTTAAGGAACACTATTTGATTTCATAGTTTAAACTTTCATGATCTTTGAAACTAGTGAAGAAAAGCTACATGGTAAATATATCATCATATGTATCCCTACATTATCAAGAGTGTCAGCTGTAAAGTTTGTATCATTGTTTCTGCTGTTTTAGAAGGTCATGTAGGGTAACAAATGCCTTAACTGGTATATCATTATCAAATAGTTCATAACATTATCAAAAGTCATGTCTGCCATTTGCTGCTGATAATTTCAGGCATCTTTGAATTCTTTTGTCCTAGGTTTTTTTTTTCCTTTTGTAATCATCTAATATTTGGCAGTACTGCCATCACTTTGCTCGCCTTGAATTTATCGTTTATCAAGTCTGTGATTTCACTTTCTTATATCCACTGGGAGCCCGGCTCTTATCATTACCACGAAAGTGGGTGTCTACTGCCTAGCGAAGTATCATCAATCTCTAATGTCAAGCCAAACAGAAGAGTTCTTTTTCTGCAGCTGGTTACCTAAGATTTATATCACAGATTTAAGGAACATAAGGACCATGTAAGAAGTCGTTGTAGGGGACTAGGAATTTTATTTAAAACACAGTGGTAAACTTTTGCAGGGTTCAAAGCAGGAAAACTCAAAATCTCATTAACATTGTGAAAATGTCACCTTAAATCATTAGGTGAATGGATTTTAGGGAGACAAGAATGTTTTTGGTGGAAAAGAGAAAAAGATAGGAACATATTTATTTATTGATTTATTTAATTTTTTTGAGACGGAGTTTTGCTCGTTACCCAGGCTGGAGTACAGTGGTGCCATCTCTGCTCACTGCAACCTCTGCCTCCTGGGTTCAGGCAATTCTCCTGCCTCAGCCTCCTGAGTAGTTGGGATTATAGGCACGCGCCACCATGCCCAGCTAATTTTTTGTATTTTTAGTAGAGACGAGGTTTCACCATGTTAACCAGGATGGTCTCGATCTCTTGACCTCGTGATCCACCTGCCTCAGCCTCCCAAAGTGCTGGGATTACAGGCTTGAGCCACTGCACCCGGCCGATGGGAACATATTTAGAAGAAGAATGCCAAGATGGATGCAGTAGATAAGGGAAAGGAAAGGAGTAAATCTAACTACCAGGATTCTAGCTTTATAAATGAGTGGTTGATAGTGTCACTTGAAAACTGGTGGAGAACAGGATTTGGAAAAACAAGAATTGGTTCTGAAAATGTGTTAACTTTGAGATAGGAAGTAGGTGATTAGTTAGCAGCTGCTAGAGCTTGAGGGGTGGGAGGTCATCCTAGATAAATGGCTGTTGAAGTCATCAGTATATTTATGGTGTTTAAAGCTCGAGGAATGGATAGAATCACCTTTGGATAGAAGAATGGGAAAAGAAGAGGACCTAGGGTAGTCCTAGGAACCTTGGCATTTCATTGTGTATCTAAAGCCAGAGGAGGAGGGAGAAAAAGCAAAAGAGTACGTTGTCACAGAAGCCAAGAAAACAGACCATTTCAAAAAGGAAAGACTGAATAACTTCAATATCACACTGAGAGTTTGTAAGATGAGGGTAGAAAAATGTATATGAATTTAAAGACACGATGTTTGGAGTTGATTAGTGGGGATTTTACGGAGGAGTTGAAACCTGAGCTGGACCTGGATGGGCTTCAACAGGTAGAGATTATGGGGTGGGCCAAGAGAAAGTTAGAAGGAAGAATGCTCATGTAAGTGAAAAAACTGAGGCACAGAGACAATATCTTGATGTAATTGCTCCCCTGCTCAAAAACCTTCAGTGACTTTCATGGCCTTAAATCTTGAAGTCATTCTTTTTTCTCTAGCTGCTCTCTTTAACTGCTATGCTACAACCAGTTGTACAACTTTGCATTTCATAAGTGTTTTATAATATTCTTCCCCCATTTCTTTGCTCAAGCTTTTTCCTTAAAATTGTTCTTCTCAGTTCCTAATTATACCTAATTGTACTATCAAATTAGTATACAGCTTACGTGCTACCTCTTTCATTTCTATTTTATTCAAGAGTGTCTTTTTTTTTCCATTTTAAACTCCTTTAATTTGCCCTTTCTCGGTTATTCATCATTTATAGCCTTGTATTTAAATTCAGATTTAAGGAATATTTACTGTACTGCATTTATTTTTTATGTACAGGCAGATTATTGTTAGGATGTAGTAGTTGGAAATGGGATGCTGGGGAATGTGTAATTTTAATTAGAATTTGAGTGGATTAAATGGAGGAGAAATCAGGTAGGAATATGGAATGCAGCAAGGCACTGAAATTCTTAGATATGACCAAAAAATGTCACTTATTTAGAGACCCCTTCTTACTTAAATAAAATGTTCAATCTTACATTCTTTTTGTTTCATTATTTTTAAAATGGTAAATTTTAACCATTTTACTATACAGTTCAGTGACATACTAAGTACATTCACATTGTACAATTATCAGCACTATCCATCTCCAACAATATGAAGTTCTTGAAAACTAAAAGGCATAGTAATATAAGTTCATATTGTTCTTTACCCAGGTTATTGAAAGGAATATGGAAATAGATCACATAAAGAAAGTAAATGTCTAAAAAAACCTTATATCAATAGATCTTAATCATTGTGAGAGCTGACAATCTCAAACATTCTGTCCCTAAATCTGCATAAGTAGTTTTTATTAAACACACCCTTTCTAATGATGGTTCTGTTTTATTATTCCATTCTGTATTTTGGTATGCTGTATTGTATTATAAATGAATACATAATTTTTATCCCTATGTTGTATGCCTTTTCCTTAATGGCATACATAAACAGATAATATTTCCTGATGTAGGCTATTTGACTGCTTTCATTCCATGTAATGCATATGAACAGTGCTTGGCATCTAGTAACTATCCAGTCAATGTTAGCATTATTATTATTAGTCCATGTCTCTTCAATATAAATTAAGCTGTCATGTATACATTTATGTGTATGATTCCTTCCCCCCTCCCACTTCTTCATCCCCACATTTTAGATTGTTTCTTTATGATAGATTCTCCAAAATAGGTTTTTAGGAATAAAATATCAAAAGATGTGGACATGGACATTTTCTAGAATAAACCATATTGTCAATTATTTTTCAAAAGGATAATGCCAATTGTTGGTGCTTCCATAGTTCATGAGAATATCATTTTCACTATATCATTGCAAACATTCGTGAATATCTGGGCCACCAGCCATACTTTTGTCAAAAAGGGAGGCACTACAAAATTTAAAATAAACATACCAAATTTTGTATATTCAAATTAGTCATCTTTGTGTACTTTATTTTATTGAATCCATTAATCAAAACATTTTTAGATTTCCTTTTTTGTTAATACCTTTAGAACAATTTCAATTAACAAGCATATTATTACACACAGATTTATTACTATTTCTGAGCATATATATATATATACACATATATGATTTTAGATAGAGCCATATATCTAGAAATAGTAAATGTATGTGTGGATATATGTAAGTGCCTGCTCATTTTAAATAAACTTGTAATAGAGATGTAATTTTGGACCAGTTTTTCTTTTTCATCTACTTAAATAACTCACCAAGTAATTAATTTAGTTTTCTTTACTATTAATGTTAAGTAGTGAGATTCTGTTGGAGGTGATACTAAAAACAATTCTTTATAATTGGCATTCATGTTATTTTTTAAAAGCTTACTCAAAATCAAATTAATGATTATTTTTCATGTTAGTTTTATTTTATGTGTGTGATTAAAAGCAGGCTTCCATGGTGGGCATTTGTTAATATATATCTGACTGCCTCATGAGGTGAAGGCCCTTGAGCTTCCTACTTGGTATGCATTGACCAGACCACAGGTTCTGCTTGTTTGCATGTAGTTTCTCTGACATGCTAATGTTGCTTTACCCAGTCGGACCTGGGATTTTTATCAAGAGGGAAAAGGGAGGGCCTTTCAAATGCAGTTCTAAATTGATAAGGGGTTACATTTCACTGTGCCCATATTTATATTTATCTATATTCTCTCTTTACTCCAATCTACCACTTATAGTCTTGAGATTTATCTTCAAAAAGGAAAGGCAAGAGGTCCAATATGCACATACATACGTACATACACATATACAAATCCTAATTATACACAGCAACCAAATGAAAACAGTTATAAATAAAATGACTGCTAGACAGATATTAAATTCAATATTATATGAGATAGAACTCTCCTATAAAGACTAAAGAGTGACAAGCTGTGAAATTTTATGTACAGGCCTACCTTGTTTTATTGTGTTTTGCTTTATTTCGTTTCACATACATTGCATTTTTTAAAAATCGAAGGTTTGCGGCAACTTTGCATTGAGCAATCCTGTTGGTGCCATTGTTTCTGACAGCAGTTCTCACTTCCTGTCTCTGTCACATGTTATTTCACAAATTATGATATTTCACAAATTATGATATTTCAAGCCTTTTCATTATTACATCTATTATGGTGATTACCGATCAGTGATCTTTGATATTACTACTGTACTTTGGGTTGCCACAAACCAAGCACATATAAAATGGTGAACTTAATTGATGAATGTTGTATGTGTTCTGACTGCTACCACCAACCAAGAGTTCCCCCAACTCTCCGTCTCTCAGGTCTTCCTATTACCAGAGACACAGCAATATTGAAGTTAGGCCAATTAATAACCCTACAATGACCTCAGAGTGTTCAAGTGAAAGTCACATGTCTCTCACTTTGAATCAAAAGCTAGAAATGATTAAGCCTAGTGAGGAAGGCATATAGAAAGCCAAGACACTGGCGAGGTGGCTGACACCTGTAATCCCAGCACTTTGGGAGGCCTGGGCAGATGGATCACCTCATGTCAGGAATTCAACACCAGCCTGGCCAACATGGTGAAACCCCACCTCTACTAAAAGATAGAAAAATTAGTTGTGCGTGATGGCGGGTGCCCCTAATTGCAGCTACTTGGGAGGCAGGGAGAATTGCTTGAACCCAAGAGGCGAAGGTGTCAGTGAGCTGAGATCATGCCACTGCACTCCAGCCTGGGCAACGTAGCAAGACTCCATCTCAAAAAAAAAAAAAAATAGGCTGAAACTAGGCCTTTTTTGTCAAACAGACTGAAAACTAGGCCTTTTTCGTCAAATAGCCAAGTTCTGTTTGTAAAGGAAAAGTACTTAAAGGAAATTAAAAGTGCCACTCTTACAAATCCACAAATGATAAGGAAGTAAAACAGACTTACTGCTGATATGGAGAAAATTTCAGTGTTCTGTATAGAAGAGCAAACCTGCCACAGTATTTCCTTAAGCTACAGCCTAATCCAGGGAAAAGCCTGAACTCTCTTTCAGTCTCTGAAGGCTGACAGGTGTGAGGAAGCTGCAGAAGAATAGTTTGAAGCTAGCTGAGGTTGGTTCATGAGGTTTAAGGAAAAACATCTCTGTAACATAAATGTGTGAGCTGTGGAAACAAGTTATCCAGAAGGTCTAGCTAAGATAACTGATGAATCACCACGCAGTAGATTTTCAATGTAAATGAAACAGTCTCCTATTAAAGAGGATGCCTTGTAGGACTTCCATTGCTAGAGAGGAGAAGTGAATCCCAGGCTTCAAAGGATTGGCTAAATTTTGGTAGGGCTAATAGAGCTGGTGACTCTAGGTTGAAGCCAGTGCTCATATAACCTTGTAAAAATCCTAGGACCTATAAGAATTATGCTAAATCTATTTTCCCTGTGTGCTGTAAGTGGAACAACAAAACCTGAATGACAGCACGTCTGTACAGCATGGTTCGCTGAATATTTTAAACCCACTCTTGAGACTTACTGCTCAAAAACCAGATTTCTTTTAAAACATTATTGCTCACTGACAATATATTTGGTCATCCAAGAGCTCAGGTGATGTACAAGAAGATCACTGTTGTTTTTATGCCTGCTACCCCAACATTATTTTACAGCTCATGGATCAAGGAGTAATTTTGACTTTCAAGTCTTTTTATTAAGAAGTACATTTTGTGAGGCTGTAGCTGCCCTAGATTGTGCCTTCTATGATGAGTCTAAACAAAGTAAATTGAAAACCTTCCAGAAAGGATTCACCATTCTAGATGTCATTTAAAATATTCATGATTCACAAGAAGAGGTAAAAATACCCACTGTAATAGAAGTTTGGGAGAGGTTGATTCCAACCCTCATGAATACTTTGAGGGCTTCAAGACTTCATTGCAGGAAGTAACTGTAGATATAGTAGAAATAGCAAAAGAGCTAGAATTAGAAGTGGAGCCTGAAGGTATGACTAAGTTACTTCAATCTTAGGGTAAAACTTGAACGGATGAAGAGTTGCTTCTTATGGATGGGCAAAGAAATGGTTTCATGAGATAAAATCTATTCTTGATAAAGATGCTGTGAACATTGTTGAGATGACAATAAAGGATTTAGAATATTACATAACTTAAGTTGATTAGACTACTGGCAAGCTTTGAGAAGATTGGCTCCAATTTTGAAAGAAGTTCCACTGTGGGTAAAATGGTATCATACAACATTGCAGGCTAGAGAGAAATCTTTCATGAAAGGAAAAGTCAGTCAATACAGCAAATTTCATTGTCTTATTTTAAGAAATTGCCACAACCACCTCAGTCTTCAGCAACCACTACCCTCATGAGTTAGCAGCCATCAACATGGAGGCAAGACCATCTACCAGCAAAAAGATTACAACTCACTGAAAGCTTAGATGATTGTTAACATTTTTTAGCAATAAAGTATTTTTAAATTAAGGTATGTACATTTTCTAGACATAATGCTATTGCACACTTAACAGACTACAGAATAGTATAAACATATCTTTTATATGCACTAAGAAACCAAAAAATTAATGTGGCTGGCTTTGTTTTTATATTCTCATTATTGTGGTTATTTTGATGCAACTTGCGGTGTCTTCATGGTATACCTGTATATTTTCCCTTAAATTTTAAATACAAAAACAAAGTCTTCAAAATAGAACAGAACAAAGCCTTCAAAATAGGTCATTGATTCTAGTTGTGCCCTAATTTGGAACTTTGGAGCAGTAATTTTAAGAATATAAAAGGGCTCTGAGAATAAATAGCTTAAGAATTACTTTTCAAAAGTTAAGTTGCTGAGCTTATATTTCATAGGTGTCTTTTTCAGGTATTTACAGGACAAAGGGCAAGTAAAGGTTCCTTTTTTAAGTAGCTGCCAAGGCTGCTTTAGGAGTGTTATCGTAGCAACTCAACATTTTGAAGGGCATGTTTAGTTTTGCATTTTCTTGCTAGAAAGCTCAAACGAAAACTTTATGCAGGTGTGTGGAAGAATTTGAAGAAATGCAGTGCTCCTGATTCTTTAATTGACATGAGCTCAGGAAATGCAGCTTTGCTGTCTTAAAAGTGTTACTTGCTTTAATCCAATCTCATCTTTTCTCACTACAGGGCTACAACACACAGCGATCTTGTTCTAAGAGCAACAAAGCTGGGAATTCCTTATAGAGTTATTCACAATGCCTCCATAATGAATGCTGTAGGCTGCTGTGGATTACAGGTAATGCTGCAAAGGAGGTTTTTCAGTGGAATTAAGCAAAAATGTTTTATTTTTCCACAAACCAAAAATGTATTTAATTGTATTTCATGAATCATAAAACATACTATTATTTGATACTAGACATATATACTAAGTTTTTTAACACTAATTTTTTTTTTATGCTAGGTTTTGCCCCTTATTGGGATAGAACATTTAGGTTTAGCTAGAAAATGATTTTAACCTTATATCAAACTTGTAGTTACATAAAAAGGAAAATATAAACTAATCTAAATGTCGAGGTCCGTGATTTTCCATACAGTATTGTTTTGTGTGCTGTTAAGAGCATTATGATGCTGCATTTCTTAATAGAATCAGTATAAAAGCTAAAAGCCAGTGATACAGGCTTTTAAACTAGGTTTGCTGTTATTGATGTGTAAAGTTAGTTATTTTTGTGTCTGACAGCCTTGGCTCTGAGGGGTTAAAAGAGTGCCCCACAATTGTTTCCAATATTTACTTCTTAGCTACTGACATTCACTTTCCAAGCTTGGTGTTTGTGTTCTGATGTTCACACATGGATAATCCATGACAACTATGACTGCTGCTTGGCTAATGGTGGTTTTAAGACTCCATCAATTGTTAAGACACATTCCTATTTTCAGATATATCATAATAGGAAAACAACATGCATCTTTGAAGCTATGAAATAAAGTATTTCCAGTGTGTCTTCCTGAAATGCTTAATTTAAAAATAGATATTTTTAAGAAGATATGTTAGCACCGTGATGTATGAAGATGCTTTAGGGATTCTGCAGACCAAGAAGTAATGGCATAACACCAAATAACAAAGATGTAGATCCTCAAGGAGCCCAATCATTATCTTTAACTCTACTGATTTCCTTTTCTTTGAGACAGTCTCGCTGTGTCACCCAGGCAGGAGTACAGTGGCTTGATCTCAGCTCGCTGCAACCTCCACCTCACTAGTTCAAGCAATTCCCCTGCCTCAGCCTCCCGAGTAGCTAGGATTACAGACCTGTGCCACCACACCTGGCTAATTATTTTGCATTTTTAGTAGAGATGGGGTTTCACCATGTTGGTCAGGCCAGTCTTGAACTCCTAACCTCGTGATCCACCTGCTTCAGCTTCCCAAAGTGCTGGGATTACAAGCGTGAGCCACCGTACCTGGCCTCTATTGATGCTTTACTGAAGAGTAGTTCATTTAGAAAAAAAGACCTAAATGAGCACTAATTGCCAGTAAAATAAATGTATGAAAATTACTAAACTTGATAAGCTCTAATATCTTATAGATTTGGAAGTCAAAAAGCTGGCCTGTTTTTAAAATTTGGATTATCTTGACCAAGATATATTAGGTACTCAAATTTTCATTCATTAAATTTTAGGATTTTTTTTTTTTTTAGGGAGGGAAGGAGGAAGGGAGGAAGGCAAGAAGGGAGGGAAGGAGGAAGGGAGGGAGGAAGGAAGGGGTGAAGGAAGGAAGGAAGGAAGGGAGGAAGGTGGGGAGGGAGGGGAAGGGAAGGGAACGAATTCAAGCAATGAGAGAGACATTGCCGACCTGGATCTAGAGGTTTACAAGTTGATTTCTTTTTTTGAGAGAAGGAAAGAAAAAAAAAAAATTAGTAAAGGAGAGAAAGAAAGAGGAAGAGAGAGAGGGAGGGTGAACGGAAATATTGCTTTATTCTGAAAAAAAAAATGGGTATTAATAATGGCCAATCAGTGTTTCATTTAAACCTATGAGTAGGTGTGATGTGGTATTGACAAGAATGTATATTTTATGTATTTGAAGTGGAGAGCTCTATAAATATTTATTAAGTTTACTTGTTCCGAATCTGAGTTTGAGTCCTTGATATCCTTATTAATTTTCTGTCTCATTGAAGCCAAGTCTCTGTGTATCTGGGTGTTAGGATCGTTAGCTCTTGTTGTTGTATTGATCCTTTTACCGCTATATCTTTGTTGCTTTAAAATCTATTTTATCTGCTATGAGAATTGCAAGTCCTGCTTTTTATTTATTTATTTATTTATTTATTTATTTATTTTTGCTCTCCATTTGGTAGGTAAATCTTTCTCCATTCCTTTGTTTTGAGTCTTTGTGTATCCTTGCATGTGAAACAGGTCTGGATGTGACATGCCATTGGGTTTTGGCTGTGTCTTTTGATTGGGGGATTTAGTCGATTTAAATTTAGGGTTACTGCCATTTGATGTTAACTGGCTGTTTGATCCATTCGTTGATGAAAATTCTTCTTTATGTTGGTGCTCTTTACTTTTTGGTATATTTTTAATAAGGCTAATACTGGTTGTTTCTTTCTGTGTGTAATGCCTCTTTCAGAAGCTCTTGTAAAGCAGGCCTGGTGGTAATAAAATCTCTGAGTACTTGCTTGTCCATAAAAGATTTTATTTTTCCTTCAATTGTGAAGCTTAGTTTGGCAGGATATGAAATTCTGGGCTGAAGGTTCTGTTCTTTGAGGATGTTGAATATTGGCCCCCACTCTCTTCTGGCTTGTAGAGTTTCTGCTGAGAGATCTGCTGTAAGTCTGATAGGCTTGCCTTTGTGGGTAACCTGACCTTTCTCTCTGGCTGCCCTTAGTATTTTCTCCTTCGTTTCAACCCTGGTGAATCTAACGATTATGTGCCTTGGGGTTGCTCTTCTTGAGGAATATCTTTGTGGTGTTCTCTGTATTACCTGGGGTTGAATATTGACCTGCTTTGCTAGTTTAGGAAAATTTTCCTGAATAATATCCTGAAGGGTATTTTCCAGCTTGGATTCATTGTCTCTGTGGCATTCAGGCACACCTATCAAATGTAAATTTGGTCTTTTCACATAGTTCCACATTTCTTGTAGACTTTGCTCATTCCTTTTTATCCTTTTATCTCTAATCTTGTCTTCTTGTTTTCTTTCATTAAGTTGGACTTTGACCTCTGTTATCCTTTCTTCTGCTTGAACAATTAGAGTGTTTAAACCTGTGCATACTTCTCGGAGTTCCTGTATTGTATTCTTTAGTTCCATTAATTCACTTATATTCCTCTCAAAGTTGTCTATTCTCAATAGGATTTCGCCAAATCTTTTTTCAAAGTTCCTAGTTTCTTTACATTGGGCTACAACATGTTCTTTTAACTCACAGAAGTTTCTTATTATCCATTCCTTGAAGAGTGATTCTGTCATTGGGATGCGCTCGTTCTCTGTCAAGCCTTGTTCCATTGTTGATGTGGAACTGTGATCATCTTTAGAGGGAGAGGCGTTCTGATTTTGAGTATTCTCAGGCTTTTTACACTGGTTTCTTCCCATCATTGTAAATTTATCCTCCTGTCATCTTTGAAATTACCAACTTTCAGATTAGGTCTCTTGATTGGACATCCAAGTTGTTAGTTCCCAGGGCCAGAACGGTGATGTTAAGACTGATGGTGCTTTTCTGCCCAGGATTCTCCTGTCTGGCTTCCTTCTTGTGTCCGTAATGGGCGACTCTGCCTTCCCCAGGCTCCAAACCTCGGTCAGAAGGGGACCCAGTCTCGTTTACTCTGCGCTGAGAGCTGCCGCGCTGAGGTGCCATCACAGCCACTGCGCCGGTTTCAGGAGTCGTTCTGGGGACCCGTGTGGGTCCTCCAAGCCTCGGTCAGAAGGGGAGCCGGCCCTGTTTACTCTGCTCCGATAGCTGCCGCGCGGAGGTGCCAGCAAAGCCACTGCTCCGGCCACAAGTGTCGCGCTGGTGGCCCGTGTGGGTCCTCCAAGCCTCGGTCAGAAGGAGAGCCAGCCCTGTTTACTCTGCTCCGAGAGCTGCTGCGCGGAGGTGCCGGGGAAGCCGCTGCGCTGGCCACAAGAGTTGCGCTGGCAACCCGTGTCGTTCCTCCACTGGGGATCTTCTGCTCCGTGAGCGACCAGAATTTGTCTGAAAGTATGGCGTCCTCTAGTTCTCTGTGCTTTGACTGAGAGCTGCAATCCCGAGCTGTTATCGATCGGCCATCTTGGATCGTTCCTCAAATTTTAGGATTTTTTACATTAAAATAACAAACACGTGGAGTTTAAAATCATGCTTTTAAAATCCTAACAGATATTTCTAGCACTTGTATTGTTTAACATTTTTCAGATTTTTCTAATGAAAGAAAAGCCTATATGTATGTCTAAAGTCAGGCATATTGGTTGTGTTTAGATGTCCTGGTAATGAAAATTTGCTTAATAAACTGAGGATCAATCTTAATAAATCAGGGATTTTTCTCACTACACAGAAGATAGGAGAATAAAGTCCTTTTTTTGATTTATTGAGTTTAACATTTCTGCATAAGCAGTTAGTAGCTTAGTCATATAAAATCAGAATTGCTTCTATTTAGCATTGTTCCTACTTTAGAAGAACCATTTTCCTTGATAATAAATGATTTCTACACTCACAGGAAATTAAGAAGATAATATTGAGTAAAAAAGAAAATTAAAAAGCAACCATAGTACCACCACCTAAAGGTGTCCACAGTTACCAATTTTGGCATATTTTCTTTCAGTCTTTTTCTTCAACACTCAGTATGTGTATATTTATTTAATCTCATAGGCCAAACAAAGATTAGAAGAAATTACAAATTCTGAAATACTTCTTTGTATAGAATTTTATTATTTCTTAATCGTTTGTGTGATAGACTGTATTAGTTCTCGTAGAAAGTTGGTGACTGAAATGGTTTTAAAATATTTTAAAAGACAGATAAATGAGACAATTCCATGAAACCAGTTAGCAGTGATTGCTGGATAAAAACTGCATTATCAGTAGTGTCTGACTTCAGATAAAAAGTTGTATAATTTTCTTATCATTGTGAAATGTTTCCTCTTTCTCTTGCTATTGCATGAGTGACTTTGAGTATTGCCATATGTTCATCTGTTTATATAATGCATTTCTAATTTGGAAAAATGTATATTACTTTCAGAAAGTAACAACTCATTTCCTTCCTTTTTTAAATACCACAATATTCATTGCAATAGCATTGTCGACCTTGTAGTGATTCTTATTGTTAGTTTTCAGAAGCATTAATTGATTTCATTGTTGTCTCAGGACTAAAGTAGAAATGAAAATCCCTAGCTTAATACAAAGAACACCTAGTTTTAATGTTCTTTATGTTAAGCAAGGTTTTATCATCTAAAGTTCTACATCCTTCTGTGGTCTTAGAAGAAAGTAATCTAAGCTCTTTCTATTCTTTTAGTCACTTAGGAACAGTTTTTGACTACCTGCTAAATCATAGGCATATTTGATTTTTTTCTTCCTTTCTGTTTGCACTTATTACTGTTTCTAATCATTATTTTAGTAGCCATGTTACCATCATTTTTTGCTACTTCATAGTTTTCTTTTTAAATTGTAAATCTAATTGTGCCATTCTTTTATTAAAACAATTTTGGTAAATTAATCCCCATCCTATATAGAATGTTCAGTTACTTGTATGTTCTATTAATGCATTCTCATGCTTCTAATAAAGACATACCCAAGACTGGGAAATTTATAAAGGAAAGAGGTTTAATTGACTCACAGTTCAGGTTGGCTGGGGAGGCCTCAGAAAACTTACATTTATGACAGAAGCAAACACATCCTTCTTCCCCATAACAGCAGCAAGGAGACATGCAGAGTAAAGAGGGGGAAGCCCCTTATAAAACCATCAGATCTTATGGGAACTCTCTTACAATCACGAGAACAGCGTGGAGGTAATTGCCCCACACCCCACCACTGGATCTCTCCCACAACATGTAGGGAATTGGGAAACTACAAGATGAGATTTGAGTGGGGACACAACCAAGCCGTGTTATATATGTTTTTGATTTTATCATAGTATAAACTCTTTGATTTACTCATTTTCATATCTTCCATTGCATCATTGCATTCTGTCACAGTGCCATGCATATAATCAATATGTAACAAGTACTTGCTAAGTTGGATTTTTTATTTATTTATTTTCTTTCCCAACCCCCTGCCTTCCACCCTGGAGTTGGAGCTTATCTTTGAAATTATATGCTCTAAATTGTCATTTTAAAATTTAATTTATAAGTGGCTCCCACTTATGTATGAGAATAAATCTTGTAGCTCTTTTGTATACATAGTCATTCAACTTTATATACCTAGTGTGTAGCCATGTGCATACTCTCTCTTAGTGTCATCAAAAATGAATGTTAAGCAAATTATATGTGGGGATTAAAAACAACAACAAACAAAACCCAACCCAAGACCAGTATTCTGTATAGAAGAGAAAACTAGTCATTCTTGATTATGTGGTTTTGTGGTGCATTTTTTGACAGTTTTGCTGGCTTTGCCACCTCATGGACTTAGCTGATTTAATTTAGTATATAAATATGTTATACTTGTAGGGCTTAATAGAGTTCTTAGGAAGTTCAATTTTTCTTGATTTAACATATCTTTTAACTTAAATGCCACAGAAAATATTTCTATTTGTTATACAAAATAACAAAAGCATTAAAGTCTAAAATGGAGTTTTACAAAGCATCTGTGCTTCTAAAAGGAAAGAGGTATCAGTGGCTATGAGATGAGTTAGGAGACCATTAAGGTTATTCAGGCAAGTGATACTGAGGGCTCAAACCATGATTGTAGGGAAAGAAATGAGTAGTCAGCTACATAAATTACACAGCAGAATTTACAGGAATTGGCACTAGATAAGATGTCAGGAATTAGATACATGTTTAGAGGGAAGTCAAGTACAATTAGATATTTCTAGGTAGTTGCTTAATGCCAATCTAAATATTGCCCAAGACTTTCCACCTCTGTTACTTTGTTCATAGTATCTCTTTATTTCCTCATATTCAACTTCTCTAACCTTAAATCTAATCTGTCTTTGAAGGTATAGCTTACACCCTCTATTTTCAGAAGATGCCTTCAGATGCTCTCTGAGTGAGAGAAATGCTGAATTCTTATAATGCTTAGAGTCTATAGCATATTTAATAATTATTATTGCTACCTAATGTCTTTCTTGTGCATCTTCTAACTAGATTGTGCCTTACGCCTAATGAGTGGATGGTTTTGAGACGAGTTTTTTGTTAATTTTCTTAGATAAAACATAATCCAATATCAAGTTAGGTAAACTGCTTTCTCTATAGTTACTCCCGGTTAAAATTTAAAAAGGTCTGTGTTTACCTACTGTTATCATAGAAAACAGTTTTTGTAGTCTTTAAATCTAGATTTGCAGCAGTAATGTTTTGGAGGAAAAATAATCACAGCACAAAGGCTTATATTAATATTATAGGATGGTTCAGTACTTAGGTTTCTGCCATCTCAGTTCTCATCACTGTATGATTTTGCTCTAGTTTCTTTTTATAGTTCACTGGTAAGCCCTTGGATTATGAAACACAAAAAACTGATTCTTCTGTTCTTTGAGGTACTGACATCTAAATGGTGAAACTGTTTGCATAACGTTCCAGGATTCACTGAGGAAGTTTCTACCACAGCTACAGGAGTGGTTACCGTTTATAAATCAGAGTCCTGGAGAACAGTGCTTGTGTGAGGTTTTCTTTAATCTCTCAAATGAGACAATTCAAAGACACTGCTACACAGAATGCTTTAGCTAGAGTTTATATGTGACTTGCATCTCAACTCTTTCTTAAATGGTCTATCACTTTCTTTTTGAATGAAGAATTTATTTCCTTCCATGACTGTATTTCCATGACTCTTAAGATATTTAAGACCCATTTAAAGTATCTAGTATTGCATATATAATTTTTTAACAGTTTTACCTTGAAGTTTTTTTATGGAATAATACTAATATTTCATAATTTGATCAGAGAGGTAAAAAATCATTTTAGGATGTAAACAGTTGAACTTGTCAGAATGAAATTCTAAATATAGTTTCAAATATTTAGTAATATTTTTGAGCTTACTCCAATAAGGAAAGCAGTTGGGTTATAGCAGGACACAATGTTTTAGAACATCTCCATTATTAACACATTATCATTATATTATCAAATTCCTAACACTTACTGAGACTACTATGTGCAAGGCACTACTTAGGCACTCTGCATACTTTGTGTCATTTAACCCTTAAAAAAATCACATTTTTATGTTTATAATTATTATACCCATTTTGTAGAAGGGTTTTTCCCAAGGGTTGGGAACGTTGCTTGATTTGTCCATGATTAGTCATAGTAAGAACTAGTGCCGTGACTGCAGAGCCTTTGCCTGCTATTTGAGACCTGAGTAAGACTGCGCAAGCTGCGAGAGCCAGAGCTGTGTTTTGCCTGTCATTTTAACCCTGTGACTAGCATAATACCTGGTAGTACACAGTAGGTGATCTCTAAGAAGTAGTTGTTGGTTAAGTTTGCCGCGCGTCATCCAGTAATAACAAAACCCCTCAGCAGGGCCAGAACCATTTCTGTCAGCTTGGCACAGACCGCATGTATTCCTGGCATTCCACATTGGAACTAGAAATACATTTTTCACAGAGAAACCTTGTCACATGTGGCAGGAAGTTTCATGATTGAATACTTGGAGTTACATGGGTCCTTGTACACTGACCTGTAAATTTGATTTCTACTGAATAGCATAATGTCTGTCAGAGAATATGTTTTTAGGCAGCTTTCAAATGGACTTTGGGAGTAAAGCCTGTTGTAGGTAAGATGTAGGCTGTGGCCTATGAGGGACATGATGAGCCTTTTCTTTAGAACTCAAAGTCACCGTTATGAGTATTGAGTATAGTTTATAGGACCTCAATATGTAAAAACTGAGAAATGTTGAGATGCTCTAGGGAATTAGGGATGAAGCACCTGAATGCCCCATCTTCTCTGTTTCCTTTCTGCCTGTCTTCCCCTCATCTCTTGTGCAGTGTCTGAAACTGATTTGACAAGCCTTAGGCTGCTGGAAGCAGAGAATGACTAATCCTTGCTCCAGACCAGTTTCTTCATTTTTCAATGAAGAACCCAAGGCTTGGAAAAGTTAAGTGACCTCTGAAGTCACACAGCTATTTCAGGCACACAGTTAATTTGTGGCAGAGGGCTAGATGTAGTTTTCAGAGTCTAGTGCTTTCTAGTTCTGTTAGATTTATTACAAGTGCTATTTAAAGAGAATAAATCTTTATACAAGTTTAATACTATTTTACATTAAGTCTTTGAAAATAAATGTCCTTTGCTCAGTGCCAAGATACGAACTAATATTAACCTATTATTTCACCCTGTAAATGACTTACTACATGTAATATGATCCTTGCAACTCTAGAAGTAGGAAGAACAGAATTTTACCACTATTCCTTTTTTAAAGTGTTACAGTAACATCACACAGCCAACAAGTTGCAGAGCCAGAATTCAAAAGTAGATTTTCTCAGCATAAGATTTGAAACTGAACTCACTTAAGTGAACTGGTTCAGCCAGTCTAGATTAGAGAAGCTAGCTTTTTGACTGTAGTGATGGTGAAGTGGGGTGGGCCACTTGCAGGTTAAAGAGGAGGTTTGGAAAAAGGCCCTCATCCCTGAACTCTATAGTGAGGGAACAAATAGAATCTTGCTAAATTAAGGGATTGCAGATTTGGAACAATGGCTGGAGTGAGTATATACTTTGTTTTATTGAGATAGTATGACGAAAAGTACATTTTCTCAAACTAGATTTAAATATTTTTTTAAAAAAATCATTAGTTATATGACTAGCGAAGTCAGTTGTTCTTTCTAAGCCTTGATGGTCTCACCTGTAAAATGAGAAGTCTTAACCTGTGAACCCTGCTCTGATTGCTCAGAACTCTTTTTTTTTTAATCTGAGTTCTTTGAATTTCAGTATTTTCAGCAACTATATTGCTAAATTATGAAATTGTCATATATGTTCCTGTATAGAATGTAGAGATACTAGAAACTTACTACTGAAACTTACTTCTGGCATCAGAAAGTAAGCTATGATCACCAAACAAGTTGTGTTACCTTTTCTGGTGACAGATTTGATGCCCCACCCATTTTAAGTCTGGTTTTCACTTTTTATTTTGGTTGTAAAATGATTAAATTCTCTCCTTATCTATGAAATAGTAGTTAGTGAATTGTTCCATCATTGATTAATGTTTTTTTTTTTTTTCTAGTTATATAAGTTTGGAGAGACAGTTTCTATTGTTTTTTGGACAGACACTTGGAGACCAGAAAGCTTCTTTGACAAAGTGAAGAAGAACAGACAAAATGGCATGCACACATTATGTTTACTAGGTAAGGGTTTTGGAATTTCCTTGAAGTCACAATATGGAACTATCATATTGTTCTCATATTGATTTTGTGTTCAAGTTCTATGGATAATTAGCCAGAGGTAAGAAAAGACACAGTCTAGCCATTTTATGCAGACCACACTCTTCCCATATTCTTAGAGAGACATGCATCTTCTGCTTCAAATACTACATGGCTATTTCTGCATGCACAGTATAGTTATGCTGCTCTCTCTTATGCCCTAGTAGATCCTCTCCAGTATTACATATCTTACCCATTTGTCCATCAAGGATTTACCACAATTTAATAGACTTGCATTGAGCAAGTCTTAACC